TGATGGCATCTAAAGGTAGTTGTTAGAAATGATTAAATTCAGTGAACAAGGCATGTCGATGTTAATAATATGGCTCTGGGCCACAGTGTAGGTAGCCGGTAGGTGTAGCCCAGGCTGCACCTACCAGCTACACCTACCGGCTACCTACACTGACTATACAAATAAATACTACTCGCTTCTCTTCCTATATTAAGACTACACATATTTTTAGGTAAATAATGAGTGTACTGTATGTGCATTTTACCTCTCTGGGATGTTTTAAATATCGTATATTAAGTATGAGACGGGGAGCCAGTGCTGCCTACACCTGGGCTACCTGCACCTGACTTCCTACAGATAAGTACTACTCACCTCTCTCCCTACATTAAGATTACAAATAATTTAAGATAAGTAATGAATTTACTGTGACTGTATTTTACTTTGTGTTTTTAATGCCTAGTTCTATTACTAACTTAATATAATTTAGTGTAAACTTGTTGTCTGGCATTTATATGCATTTATAAATGGAAAAAAATGGAGTCCTGCCTTCCGGCGATGTCTGCTTTCCGGCGACAGCCTGGAACCTAACCCGCCATGTAAGTGGGGCCCTACTGTACACATTTACTGAAAATCAGAAGAAGAAAAACTTTATAAAACTGGGATGCTTGAATGTGCATGGATGTAGTGCAGATGATAAGAAAGAGATGATTGCTGATGTTATGAATGAAAAGAAGTTGGATGTCCTGGTCCTAAGCGAAACAAAGCTGAAGGGGGTAGGCGAGTTTCAGTGGGGAGAAATAAATGGGATTAAGTCAGGAGTAGCTGAGAGAGTTAGAGCTAAGGAAGGGGTAGCAATAATGTTGAAGGACCAGTTATGGAATGAGAAGAGGGAATATGTGTAAATTCAACGATTATGTGGATTAAAATGAGGGTCGGATGTGAAAAGTGGATCATAATAAGCGTGTATGCACATGGAGAAGAGAGGTTTGTAGAGGAGAGAGAGGGATTTTGGGAGATGTTAAGTGAATGTATAGGAACCTTTGAACCAAGTGAGAGAGTAATTGTGGTAGGGGACCTAAATGCTAAAGTAGGAGAAACATTTAGAGAGGGTGTGGTAGGTAAGTTTGGGGTGCCAGGTGTAAATAATAATGGGAGCCCTTTGATTGAACTTTGTATAGAAAGGGGTATAGTTATAAGTAATACGTATTTTAAGAAAAAGAGGATAAATAAGTATACAAGATATGATGTAGGGCGTAATGACAGTAGCTTGTTGGACTACGTATTGGTAGATAAAAGACTGTTGAGTAGACTTCAGGATTTACGTGTTTATAGAGGGGCCACAGATATATCAGATCACTTTAAAGTTGTAGCTACAGTGAGAGTAAAAGGTAGATGGGATACAAGGAAAACAGAAGCAGCAAGTAAGAGAGAGAGGTGAAGGTGTATGAACTAATGAGGAAGCAGTTAGGTAAGATATAAACAACTATTGGAGGATAGATGGGTTTGTGAGAGTATAGGCAATGGGGTAGAAGATGTTTGGGGTAACTTTAAGAATGTAGTGATTTAGTGTTCAGCAGAAGTTTGTGGTTACAGGAAAGTGGGTGCGGGAGGGAAGAGCGATTGGTGGAATGAAAAAGTTAGCATATGAGAGGTTTTCAAAACCATTCATCACATCTGTCAGACACTGCATCATCATGGGATCTTGGTACAAAGACTTCTTCAACGCTTGTCCAACCTTTGGACGAAGACCTACGTACACTAGAGGAAGGTCCTACTGTGATCCCGCCTCCTCCTGCTTTGACTCGCCTGACTGCAGTATATAAGCCACCTGTCTGGCCCTATGCTGTACTTCCTACAAGAGTGATGGAATGAACACATCGATTCCAGCCTGAGGGACTGATTACTTCAAACTCCTCCTCTCCTTACCCATTTCTACTTTGTATTGGACTGATGAAGCCACTGTGTGGCGAAATGTTTCTTCAATAAAGATTCCCATATGTTGCATAAGTGTCTCAATTCTTCAACTTGTCAGTTTTCAAAACCTTCATCACTTCATGCTTTTGGTTTCATTACCTTCAGAAAAAGATTCTCTGTCATTTCATAATAAAACAATTTTTATTTTAAATACTTCGACCCTGGGAGTAAGTTTGCAAGCAGGGGGTCTCGACCCTCAAAGGGTTAAAATTCCAAGATTTGTTGAACTTCCTAAAGTGACTTTTAGAACTGTTAGTAACACCGATTTTTAAGATAAAAGAACACCAAGAATTGTCAGTACAAGTACAACATGATACATCTTCCTTCAAACATTTAGTACTTTTGGAAACCCTTCTTGATGCCAAGTATCAGGAAGATAACCATCACCATGGCAAAAGAATTTTACAAAATACACACACCAACTGCCTCATTAACAGATCTTGCCCAAAATATTACATAAAACAAACACCATATTACATAAAACAAATACCATTTTTTATGTAATGAGCTCGGACACTAGCATCATAGAGAGCTACCCCTCACAGTAATGGATTACATTGCCAGACGAGAGAATACTGCACATCACAAAAATCAGTCTCATATCAATCTCTCCTCTCATATGAAGCTTTATTCCCAAAATTCGTAAAATAAATTAAATTAATTCTGTACAATGTTTAAATATGCTTGTTTGAAATACAGTAAGTATCTCATAACACAAGCATACACAGCTCTATTTTGGCTGAATGCCACTGAAAAATCACAGCATTTCTTTAACATTTGGAAACCCCTCATATTACACTTAACAAATCTGAAAAAAATAACAAAATTTGGGTAGTAAAGTCCACAGATTTTCACAAAGTGCTCTCAAGTATGCAGTTGTGCCCCCACAGTCCTTAAAGCATCCCACTCAGTAATAAAGTCATTAAACAACATTTTTTCTTACCTAACAAATGTTTTCAAAAATATACATAACTTATGAATACTTTAAAGCACTGTATAAAATGTTTGAAGAAAATATTCAGTGCATTAATAGCAAGACAGTTCAAAAAGTTCAGATAATGATTTTATTCACTTATTATCCCAGGTTAATAAACCAAAATCATACATTATCATAATCACACTAATTACACATTCCTGTGCCTTTAACAGTCATGTGACTATTACATCTCTTAATAAATGTTACTTTGCTCACACTCCAACAACACATCAAGTCATAAAATCCATTTGTCTCCACTCGTATCTAACACACTCGTACACACTTGCTGGAAGTTCAAGCACGTCCTTTACCTCCTCCAACCTTTTCTAGGCCAACCCCTACCCTGCTGTCCTTCCACGATAGGTTTATATTCCCTCAAAGTCATTGTTGTGCTCCATCTTCTCTAAATGTCCAAACCACCTCAACATTCCTTCCTCTAGCTTCTGGATAATACTTTTAGAAACCCTGCACCTCCTAATCTCCAAGCTACAGATTCATGTCAGACATGACATCTCCACTACCTGTACTGAAGCTGCAGATAGAACTAGCTGTATTAGCCAAAGAACACTAAATTGTCAATGAGGATATTATTTGTTGCCTTTTTAATACTAAAGATGGGAGTTTTCCATCTCAATGTTTCATTACTGATGATTAAACCTAATTACTTACACTGTACTCCATTGTATAATTTTTAGAGGCTGAAAGGAAATGTTCTAGGTAGTAGGTTGGCAGACAGCAACTGCCCAGGGAGGTACTACCATCCTGCCAAGTGAGTGTAAAACGAAAGCCTGTAATTGTTTTACATGATGATTGGATTGCTGGTGTCCATTTTTCTGTCTCATAAACATGCAAGGTCTCAGGTACATCTTCCTACTTCTACTTACACTTAGGTCACACTACACATACATGTACAAGCATATATATACACACACACCCCTCTGGGTTTTCTTCTATTTTCTTACTAGTTCTTGTTCTTGTTTATTTCCTCTTACCTCCATGGGGAAGTGGAACAGAATTCTTCCTCCATGCGTGTTGTAAGAGGCGACTAAAATGCCGGGAGCAAGGGGCTAGTAACCCCTTCTGTATATATTACTAAATGTAAAAGGAGAAACTTTCGTTTTTCCTTTTGGGCCACCCCGCCTCGGTGGGATACAGCCGGTGTGTTGAAAGAAAGAAAGAAAGAAAGAAAGGAAATGTAGAAAATTCAGCACGTATCACCTCATCTATGGGATTTTACTGCTGTATATACGTATTTATCTTTTAAAAATGTTTTTTAATCATAGAATTGATGAGGGAAAAAAGGTGAGTGGTGCGTCGAGGTATATGTGGAGTCAAAAAACGTTATCTATGGAGGCAAAGAAGGGAATGTATGAAAGTATAGTAGTACCAACACTCTTATATGGGTGTGAAGCTTGGGTGGTAAATGCAGCAGCGAGGAGACGGTTGGAGGCAGTGGAGATGTCCTGTTTAAGGGCAATGTGTGGTGTAAATATTATGCAGAAAATTTGGAGTGTGGAAATTAGGAAAAGGTGTGTAGTTAATAAAAGTATTAGTCAGAGGGCAGAAGAGGGGTTGTTGAAGTAGTTTGGTCATTTAGAGAGAATGGATCAAAGTAGAATGACATGGAAAGCATATAAATCTATAGGGGAAGGAAGGCGGGGTGGGGTCGTCCTCGAAAGGGTTGGAGAGAGGGGTAAAGGAGGTTTTGTGGGCGAGGGGCTTGGACTTCCAGCAAGCGTGCGTGAGCGTGTTAGATAGGAGTGAATGGAGACGAATGGTACTTGGGACCTGACGATCTGTTGGAGTGTGAACAGGGTAATATTTAGTGAAGGGATTCAGGGAAACCGGTTATTTTCATATAGTCGGACTTGAGTCCTGGAAATGGGAAGTACAATGCCTGCACTTTAAAGGAGGGGTTTGGGATATTGGCAGTTTGGAGGGATATGTTGCGTATCTTTATATGTATATGCTTCTAAACTGTTGTATTCTGAGCACCTCTGCAAAAACAGTGATAATGTGTGAGTGTGGTGAAAGTGTTGAATGATGATGAAAGTGTTCTCTTTTTGGGGATTTTCTTTCTTTTTTGGGTCACCATGCCTCGGTGGGAGACGGCCAACTTGTTGAAAAAAAAAAATTATTCTTATTTACATTTTTCATGTTTTCTCAGAAATTGCTAGAAATTGCCAAGAAAAAATACAAGAAACCAAATGCTTATGAATCGTTACGTTCAGAAGTGTTGCAACTGCTGATCAATGCTTTTGAGCAACTCTTAAAACCAGTTAACAAACAGCCACTGCATGAAGTACTCTTCTTTGATTCTTCGTCCATGGTGAAGAGACATCTTGTGGGCATGCCAAGAGCTGCTCTTACTACAGCCCTCTCAAATCCACACCACTATTTACAGGTGAGTTATCTTACACTTCAACATTTTATGCACAGTAGATTATCACAAGAAGTGGAGAGTTATATTGTTGAAAACTAATGTGTGTTGTGAAAGTACACCATGCAAATTGATTAATATATGGAAAAATTGGGTTACATTCTAGATATTTTAGAAGTTAACGTCTCCTTTCCCCTCCCTCAAAAATTGCTAGGCTCACAATGTGGGAAAAAAAAAAACATTGAGGAATAAAACAAATCACCAACTTGGGTAGGTTGTGGCTTTGTGCCTCCACATAACTAGCTACTGGCTCACATAATTTGCCTTACCTTAATCCTTAAAAAATATTTAACTCTTTGAAGCATTTTCTTTGGAATCATATGTTCTTCTGTTTCTCATTTGAGGTGCATCTGCTTTTCACCCTGTGACAGGCTAAGGTGAAACTCTTCGACACCTCATATGGGCTGCATTCATATAGCAGCTCCTTTCACTGTTCATATAGCTCCTCTTCTCACTGTTCATATAGCAGCTCCTTTCACTGTTCATATAGCAGCTCCTTTCACTGTTCATATAGCAGCTCCTTTCACTGTTCATATAGCAGCTCCTTTCACTGTTCATATAGCAGCTCCTCTCACTGTTCATATATCTCCTCCTCTCACTGTTCATATAGCACCTCCTCCTGCTGTTTATATAGCTCCTCCTCTCACTGTTCGTATAGCTCCTCTTTTCACTGTTCGTATAGCTCCTCTTCTCACTGTTCATATAGCTCTTCCTCTCACTGTTTTATTTAGTCAGTTTTTATTTCTTTTGACTTATGATGTTATAAGTTTATCTTTTATGTTCTAATGCTTACGTGCAGTGATGAGGAAACCACATTGAAAAATGAGTGTTTATAAATATTATTTTAGTTACAGTACTATTGTCAAGCACTCAGTTTTGGAGTCAGCTGGCCAGCCACTCATGTCATCCATTTCAGCTTGTTAGACTGCTTAATCGGGAGTAAGCATGGCTTATCCTTATCTATCAGGGCACAGAGATTATTAGAGTAAATGAACAATGGTGTGCTAGTTAAATATACCAATGTGTTGGAGGAAAGATGTGTGAAAGCTACAGTTACCAATCACTATAGTACAGTCTCATGCTCATGCATTCCATCTTGTTAAGTTATTAAATATAACATAAGTATGATGACTGCTTCACCCACATCAGGGTTTGAGGCTACACTGAGTGATAAATGAACAAGGACTTTCACATTAAATGTTTGTGTTGTAAGAGAAGTTAGGCTAAGTTGTAGATAGAAGGTTGATAGACAGCAGCCATCTAAGAAGGTACTACCATCTTCTCATATAAGTTAAATAGAAGCCTGTTAAACATTTCGTACTCAGGTAGGATTGCTGGTACAGTAAATCCATTTATAAATAAAGTGTGATTTTATCTCAAAACGAGTGAAAAGGGCATCTTGTTTTGTTTGCATAGCACTAAAAGAGCCCTTATAGTATGTTGTGTAAACATAGAACCAAAGTTACACACAAAATCTTTATAGTCCATGCTGTAAAGACTTTTTCCTCTCACCTTCTTAGGCCTACAAGTTGAGTGCTTGAATAGGCACAGCTCCTACCCAACCCCACTACCACTCACTCAGTCTATAGTTGCTTATTGGGAGCTTCAAATATCTTGTTCACTTGGTATTTATCATACAATTTTGGATTTTGTCTCAGAATATTAACCATGGCACTCAAGAGGAATATATGCCAATTAAAATATGTACAGTAAGTTTGAAAGTTTGACAGTATTGATGAAACTGGAAATATAAAGTGGTACACTTGTGAGGCAGCCTGCCTGCATATTTGAGCTGAGAGAACGCACCATCCGTAAAATTAAAGACAATGAAGTGAAAGGAAAAGCTTGTAAAATATGTAGTGCAGATTGTTATATGATGTAAAGAATGTCAAAGGAGTCAGTACACCTACATACATCTATAGGAAAATGTAACAGTGATGGATTAAGGAGAAAACAAGAATAGGGGCCCCACTTAGTGCTCAGATAATAAGGCATTAATCCCTATTCTACTATTAAGCTGTGTGTGAGGAGGAGGTGGAGAACCTTCACAATAGTGCATTTTTAATGCTCGATGGTCTGACAGCTTTAAAAGGTGTAATCAGCTTTGTAATATAAGGTTTAATGGTAAAAGTACATCAGCAGCTGTGGAAAGTTACCCTGTTGACTTGCACAAATTATGTCTGAGAGCAATTACAGGCCCGACTTAATGTTTAATGCTGACTAAATGGAGCTATCTTGGAAGTGTGTGTCATCAAGAATATACATTAGCAAGCACAAAACAATAGAGCTGGTTTCAAGGTAGCTAAATATTGCTTCATTTTGCTTCTCTTTACAAATGCAACAGGTGATTTTAAGTGCTAACCTGTGCTAATTTATTGCACAGAAAACCCCCCTGCCCCAGAGTCAAGACAAAACCTGTTTCCCTAATATTTGGTGGTTTATCAAGTTAATATGTATAACTTAGAATTATGTTTCTGTTTCAAGTACTTACTAGAAAGAACCTTGCAATGAAGGTTCTTTTCATTCTTGTAGTTACTCTAGTCCTCAGATCTTGCAGTCTGTGGACCCAAAAGTAAAGGTTGTGTTTTTACCTCCCAGTGTGACATTTTTAATAGTCACTGGATCAAGGAGTTAAGATATTTAAGTACCACTGCACATGCAAGGTGATGGGAAAACTCATCTTGGTAGTGGATGATAGCTCTGAGACTGGCCTAACAGAGTTCTGGCATAAATTTAGCATTTGCAGATGCATTTATTCATGTAACAATGTCATGGGCTCAAGTGCCTCATTCAGCTATGAATATGGGAGTTATGATTATAAATAGTAAGGTGGTAATAATTATAATTATTATAATAATAATAATTAAGAACAGATTGTTACACTTACAAGTTAATGTATGAAAAATTAAGTTAATGTGGTAAAACACTTTGATAAGATTAGCTTAATATTGCTTAAAGAATAATTATTGTTTATTTGTCATGAAGCTATGCTGACACAAACACCAGTAGCACATAAGCAAAAGTATGAGAAGTGTGGGAGATTGTATATACGTATTGTGAAGGACAAATACTGGCAACAGGGAGTTGCTTAGGCTCACTTCTACACCTTATATCCTCACTTCTGTTTGTAGTAAGTCTGATGACAATTATTTTGCTATCTTGAACGTAACCCGGGTTGATGTTGTCAGTCAGGTATTTTCTTAACTTTTTTGCATTTTGTGACATCTTTTGAGAGTCAGTCATTTATATGTGCTCTCTTGATGAGTTTTTATTGTTTTCTTGTAATCTTTGAGCAGGACTGACTGCCTAAGACTTTTGGTTGGAGCAGAATGACTGTCTGAAACTTCTGGTTGCAGCAGAATGACTGTCTGAAACATCTGGTTTGAACAGAATGACTGTCTGAAATTTCTGGTTGGATCAGGACTGATTGTCTGAAACTTCTAGTTTAGTATAATTGGTTGTATGAGTTAGCTGGTTTGAGCAGGGTTGACTGAGATTGCTGGTTTGAGCAGGGTTGACTGAGATTGCTGGTTTGAGCAGGGTTGACTGAGATTGCTGGTTTGAGCAGGGTTGACTGAGATTGCTGGTTTGAGCAGGGTTGACTGAGATTGCTGGTTTGAGCAGGGTTGACTGAGATTGCTGGTTTGAGCAGGGTTGACTGAGATTGCTGGTTTGAGCAGGGTTGACTATCTCAAATAGCTGGTTTGAGAAAGATTGTGTGAGATGGATGGTTTGAATGGGATTGGGTATTAGCTGTATATTGTACTACAATACTTTCATCTGTTGAGGATCAGTATTATGCCTAAGGTTATCTCAGGATATCTCTAGTAGGATAGCAGCATAATTTTCAGTTTTGTTTTAATGTGGGAGATCCTTAGGTTTGTAAGAACTGCATAACTTTGTTGGTTGATTAGCTTCTCCCATGTTAATCCTTGATGAATTATTTTGCTACACAAAATTTGTTGATAAGTGTACAGTATTCAGTTACACTTGAAATTTTCATTAATTTGATCATCTACATTGCAGTGCGAGTGTTGTCAACTGGAGGACCTGTCGAGTGTGGTTCCAACCTTGCCAGATGTTAGTGTGGCATACAAACTTCACCTGGAGTGTGGTCGCCTTATAAATCTGTATGACTGGCTTCAAGCCTTCATATCAGTTACAGAGCCAGAGGAAGATACTTCCAGCAAGAGGACCATTGATCAGAAACTTCAGTATCCTTTTATTATAAATAAATGCATAAAAACCTTGTACATTCATGTATAATTATAGTAAGAGGATTTGCACGTGTGGTATATAAGTATCTTACAGTGAAGGAAATTTATAAATGTACAGTACTTTAAAATGTGGGATTGGGATTGGTAATTACCTGTTTGTAGGTACAGGAGCAGAGCTATGCTCATCATGTCCTGTCTTCAATAATTTGTTTATCATTTTATATTTTTGAAGTTCATGCTGGCAGTGACACATACTGCATGATCTTTTAATTCTTTCTATTGATCTACCACTCTGTGAAGAAAATTTTCCTAGTATCTCTTTGGTTCCACTTTTTTCTCAATTTACAGCTGTGTATCCTCTTGTTATCCCTGTTGTTGGCAAGAAAAAAGTCCTAACCTTTCATGTCCTTTTATGATGTGTATGGGTTATCATGTTTCCTCTGTTGGCATATTTAGTGCTTTCAACCTTTCATTATGACCTTTGTTCTTTTACGGTTGGTAACCATTTTCTAGCTTTTCTTTGGACCTTTTCTAACTTGTCTACATCTTGTTTTGTTAAGATGAGGTTGCCATGCTACTGCTGCATACTCTACTTTTAGCCTAATTCATGTTGGAACATGTATTATGGCATATACAGTGGAACCTTGGTACTTGAAAAGCTCCATATGCGAACAATTTGGTATTCGAAACCCTTTGTTTGGTAAACAAATCACTCGGTAGTCAACTGTTTGCTTGGCACTTGACCAAACAAACACGACATGCCAGAACTTCGCTGTAAACTATTTTGTGTTTCTTCGCATTTTTTAGTGTTTTTTTATTTATATAAAGAAGTCACGGGAGCAAGGGGCTAGTAACCCCTTCTCCTGTATATATTACTAAATTTAAGAGGAGAAACTTCAGTTTTTTCTTTTGGGCCACCCCACCTCAGTGGGATACGGCTGGTACGTTGAAAGAAAGAAGAAAAGGAGAAACTTTCGTTTTTCCTTTTGGGTCACCCTGCCTCGGTGGGATACGGCCGGTGTGTTGAAAGAAAGAAGTCACCATGGGGCCTAAGAGAGTTAGTGAGAACAGTCAACCAAAAAGAAAATTGGTTGGGAAAAATTAGTACTGTACTCGAACAGATCGGCACTCGAACAGCCTTCTGGAACCAATTAAGTTTGAGTGCCAAGGGTTCCACTGTATTTGAAAGCTGTTTTATAATTCGCTAGAGTAGCATACGAGTTTCTCGCAGTTTTGTTTGTAACCCATTGATAATTTTGTTCTAATAATTCCTAGGGTGCTTTCTCTGTCTGCCACTTTCAGTATTGTACCACACACTCTGTACTTATCATATAGCTTGATTTCTCACTCTCCCATTTATATTATGTGGCTTTTTTTCACATTAAATTGCATCCATATCACTCCATTTGCTCAATTTATTCTAGTCATCCTGATGAGATTTACAGTCACTTTTTTTATTTATTGGACCTAATATTTTTTGCATCATCAGCAAACATATTCATATAGTTTTTCCTTCTGGTAAGTCATTTATTTACTTACATTAAAGTATTATTGAGGCAGGTACAGCTCTTATAACTCTTCTTATAACTGCACTTTTCTGTCAAAAAGAAAGTTTTTCATCTATTTTAATAGTTCACCTTTTATTCCTCTTACATTTTTGAGGTTTCTAAATTAGTCTCTGTTTGGGAACTCGGTCAAAAAAACCCTTAAAATTCAGATAAATACAATCCGCCCATCCATTTAGCTTTTGAATTACATCTGTGACTTGTCATAATAGCTAAGTTGATTTGATATACAGTACAGGAGTTTCCAGAATGAATGCCAAATTGTACACTAATCAATAAATCTTTCTCCTTCATTTGTTTTATCCACTTTTTCTTGTGACTTTTTCCAATATTTTGACAATGACTGTTTGTCTTCTGTCTTTACTATTTTTTTGTAACACACTTGCCATCTTCCACTGAGGTAGGGTGGCCATAAAAAGAAGAAACACTTTCACTATCATTCACTCCATCACTTTTGCTAGAGGTGCACTGACATTACATTGCAGATAGCCCTCTGAACTATTTATTTTTTATTTTTACTTCTATTTACCTTATTCTTTCAAAAGATGGTCTGTGCATATGACAACTTTGGATAAAACATTGTTATTAAAAATCTGTCTGTGATAATTTGTAATCCATGTGTATAATTATTTCTAAATCCATTTTTTTTTATCCTCTACCACCATCTCCCACCAAGACAGGGTGACCCAAAGGAGATAGCACATTCACCATCGTTCATTCGGTTAATGTCTTTCCGTCTCTGTATATACAGTAATTATTTTTTAAATCCATCTCTTGTATGTATATAATTAGAGTACTTTTCAAATCCATTTCTCTATGTAAATGTACAATTAATTTTTATGCCCTCTTATGCATGTTATGTTTGTGTATGTCTTATGAATCTTCACAGACTATTATTTTCCTTAACAGTTGTGCAGAGCACGATTTGCACAAGCTGTATCTGAGTTGCAGTTCTTGGGCTTTGTTAAGCCCACACGTCGCAAAACTGACCACGTTGCTAGGCTTACTTGGGGTGGATGTTAATGCTCAAAAATAAATTCATTATGTGAATGTGCTGTTAATTCTATTTTTTAAATTACAATTCAGATTGTGCACACACGTGCCATAACGATTACTATATTTGTCAGACTCTCATCTGGAGTTGTTTTTCTTTTCTATAATATTTAATAGTTTCATAGTACTGTTTCAAAGATAATTTTATTGTGTATCATTTTTCATATATTTTTCTTAATAAAGTTTTAAATCAATTATATATTTTTCATTGAAATAAGACATCAGGTCCTAAAGTTTGGGAGTTTTGTTTAGCTTTATTAAGGTAGATAAATTATAGATTAATAAAAATGATGTCACTGATTATATCTATACATCAGCAATGACCTGGTTAACCAGACAAGTAACATGGATGCTTCAGGCTGGGTTGTGTAGGTGGGAAAAACCTCAACTGGTCACAGGTATGCCCTCTTAGCCAATGTCTGCTGTACCTGCTTTATGGAGTTAGGTGATCATTATTTTTTAACACTAGCCCTCTCCCACTGAGGGAGGGTGACCCAAAACAGAAACACTTTCACCATTGTTCAAACTATCATTTGTCTTTCTAGAGTTGTGTAGTGAATAATAGTAAGTGGGTTTTGCAATAGACGTTGTTTTGTGTGTGTGTGCAAATGGTTTAGAAAGTTTTTTTCTAAGGGGGAGGCTGATTAAATTATGGGAATCTAATACAAAATGGGAGTTGACACAGTTGCTTTTTGCTGATGATACTGTGCTTTTGGGGGATTCTAAAGAAAAGTTGCAAAGGTTAGTGGGCGAGTTTGGGAGGGTGTGTAGAGGTAGAAAGTTGAAAGCAAACATAGATAAGAGTAAGGTGATGAAGGTATCAAACGATTTAGATAAAGAAAAATTGGATATCACATTGGAGGGAGGGAGTATGAAAGAAGTGAATGTTTTCAAATATTTGGGAGTTGACTTGTCAGTAGATGGGTTTATGAAGGATGAGGTTAACCATAGAATTGATGAAGGAAAAAGGGTGAGGGGTGTGTTGTGGTATCTGTGAAGACAAAAAACGTTATCCATGGAGGCAGAGAGGGGAATGTACAAGAGTATAGTGGTACCAACACACTTATATGTGTGTGTGAAGTATGGGTTGTAAATGCTGCAGGAAGGAGGCAGTTTGAGGCAGTGGAGATGTCCTGTCTAAAGGCACTATGTGGTGTAAATATTATGCAGAAAATTTGGAGTGTGGAAATTAGGAGAAGATGTGGAGTTAATAAAAGTATTAGTCAGAAGGCTGAGGAGAGGTTGTTGAGGTGGTTTGGTCATTTAGAGAGAACTGATCAAAGTAGAATGGCATGGAGAGCATATAAATCTGTAGGGGAAGGAAGGCAGGGTAGGGGCTATCCCCAATAAAGGTTGGAAGGAGGTTTTGTGGGCGAGGGGCTTGGACTTCCAGCAAGTGTGCGTGAGCGTGTTAGATAGAAATGAATGGGGATAAATGGTTTTTGGGGCCTGGTGAGCTGTTGGAGTGAGGAAGTTAATATTTTGTGAAGGGATTAAGGGAAACCGGTTAACTGGACTTCTTTATTTCTTTCAACACACCGGCCGTATCCCACCGAGGCGGGGTGGCCCAAAAAGAAAAACAAAAGTTTCTTTTTTTAAATTTAGTAATTTATACGAGAGAAGGGGTTACTAGCCCCTTGCTCCCGGCATTTTAGTCGCCTCTTACAACACGCATGGCTTACGGAGGAAGAATTCTGTTCCACTTCCCCATGGAGATAAGAGGAAATAAACAAGAACAAGAACTAGAGAGAAAATAGAAGAAAACCCAGAGGGGTGTGTATATATATGCTTGTACATGTATGTGTAGTGTGACCAAAGTGTAAGTAGAAGTAGCAAGACGTACCTGAAATCTTGCGTGTGTATGAGACAAAAGAAAAAGACACCAGCAATCCTACCATCGTGTAAAACAATTACAGGCTTCCGTTTTACACTCACTTGGCAGGACGGTAGTGCCTCCCTGGGCGGTTGCTGTCTACCAACCTACTACCTAAAACATTTTAAATATAAGGACTAAATTGTCATGTATTTTAGAAATTATTGTATATTTTAGACTTACCCAGAGCTCTGCACCTGGCACAGACTTCACATATAATCCACTAAATATCATTAAGTTCACTCTCAATTTACCATAATGTATTTTTCGTGAATTTATTTCTAAGATGTATTTTAATATTGCAATATTTAATATTGTAAGGTAGTAGGTTGGTAGACAGCAACCACCCAGGGAGGCACTACCGTCCTGCCAAGTGAGTGTAAAATGAAAGCCTGTAATTGTTTTACATGATGGTAGGATTGCTGGTGTCTTTTGTCTGTCTCATAAATATGCAAGATTACAGGTATGTCTTGCTACTTCTACTTACACTTAGGTCACACTACACATACATGTACACGTTTATTTATACACACTCATCTGAGTTTTCTTTGATTTTATCTTAATAGTTCTTGATCTTATTACTTTTCCTTTTATATCCATGGGGAAGTGGAATAAGAATCTTTCCTCTGTAAGCCATGCGTGTTGTAAAAGTCAACTAAAATTAAAATGTCGGGAACAATGGGCTAGTAACTCCTTTTCCTGTAAAGATTACTAAAAAGAATAAGAAGAAGAAAATTGTCAAAGTGGGAAGTCTGAATGTCCATGGATGTTGTGCAAATGATAAGAAAGAGATGATTGTGGATGTTATGAATGAGAAGAAGCTGGATGTCCTGGCTTTAAGTGAAACAAAGCTGAAGGGGGTGGGAGAGTTTCAATGGAGAGAAATAAATGGGATTAGATCAGGGGTTTCAAACAGAGTTAGAGCTAAAGAAGTAGCAATAATGTTGAAGGATAAGCTATGGCAGGAAAAGAGGGACTACAAATGTATTAATTCAAGGATTATGTGGAGTAAAATAAAGATTGGATGTGAAAAGTGGGTTTAGTAAGCATGTATGCACCTGGAGAAGAGAGAAGTTGTAGAGGAGAGAGAGACCCCCTTCCCTTTTTCCTTCCCCTATAGTTTTATAGCTTTCCTTGTCATTCTATTTTTGATCCATTCTCTCTAAATGACCAAAACCCCACCTCAAAAACCCCCTCTTCTGCCCTCTAAACTAATGCTTTTTTAATCTCCAACCTTCCAATTCCACACTCCTAATTTTCTGCATAATATTTACACCACACATATTTTAAGAAAAAGAGGATAAATAAGTATACACGATATGATGTAGGGCGAAATGACTGTAGTTTGTTGGATTATGTATTGGTAGATAAAAGACTGTTGAGTAGACTTCAGGATGTACATGTTTATAGAGGGGCCACAGATATATCAGATCACTTTCTAGTTGTAGCTACACTGAGAGTAAAAGGTAGATGGGATACAAGGAGAATAGAAGCATCAGGGAAGAGAGAGGTGAAGGTTTATAAACTAAAAGAGGAGGCAGTTAGGGTAAGATATAAACAGCTATTGGAGGATAGATGGGCTAATGAGAGCATAGGCAATGGGGTCGAAGAGGTATGGGCTAGGTTTAAAAATGTAGTGTTAGAGTGTTCAGCAGAAGTTTGTGGTTACAGGAAAGTGGGTGCAGGAGGGAAGAGGAGCGATTGGTGGAATGATGATGTAAAGAGAGTAGTAAGGGAGAAAAAGTTAGCATATGAGAAGTTTTTACAAAGTAGAAGTGATGCAAGGAGGGAAGAGTATATGGAGAAAAAGAGAGAAGTTAAGAGAGTGGTGAAGCAATGTAAAAAGAGAGCAAATGAGAGAGTGGGTGAGATGTTATCAAAAAATTTTTGTTGAAAATAAGAAAAAGTTTTGGAGTGAGATTAACAAGTTAAGAAAGCCTAGAGAACAAATGGATTTGTCAGTTAAAAATAGGAGAGGAGAGGTTATTAAATGGAGAGTTAGAGTACTGGGAAGATGGAGGGAATATTTTGAGGAATTGTTAAATGTTGATGAAGATAGGGAAGCTGTGATTTCGTGTATAGGGCAAGGAGGAATAACATCTTGTAGGAGTGAGGAAGAGCCAGTTGTAAGTGTGTGGGAGGTTTGTGAGGCATTACGTAGAATGAAAGGGGGTAAAGCAGCTGGAACTGATGGGATCATGACAGAAATGTTAAAAGCAGGGGGGGATATAGTGTTGGAGTGGTTTGGTACTTTTGTTTAATAAATGTATGAAAAGAGGGGAAGGTACCTAGGGATTGGCGGAGAGCATATATAGTCCCTTTATATAAAGGGAAAGGGGACAAAAGAGATTGTAAAAATTATAGAGGAATAAGTTTACTGAGTATACCAGGAAAAGTGTACGGTAGGGTTATAATTGAAAGAATTAGAGGTAAGACAGAATGTAGGATTGCGGATGAGCAAGGAGGTTTCAGAGTGGGTAGGGGATGTGTAGATCAAGTGTTTACATTGAAGCATATATGTGAACAGTATTTAGATAAAGGTAGGGAAGTTTTTATTGCATTTATGGATTTAGAAAAGGCATATGATAGAGTGGATAGAGGATGAATGTGGCAGATGTTGCAAGTGTATGGAATAGGTGGTAAGTTAATAAATGCTGTTAAGAGTTTTTATGAGGATAGTGAGGCTCAGCTTAGGGTGTGTAGAAGAGAGGGAGAATACTTCCCGGTAAAAGTAGGTCTTAGACAGGGATGTGTAATGTCACCATGGTTGTTTAATATATTTATAGATGGGGTTGTAAAAGAAGTATAAGCTAGAGTGTTCGGGAGAGGGGTGGGATTAAATTATGGGGAATCAAATTCAAAATGGGAATTGACACAGTTACTTTTTGCTGATGATACTGTGCTTATGGGAAATTCTAAAGAAAAATTGCAAAGGTTAGTGGATGAGTTTGGGAATTTGTGTAAAAGTAGAAAGTTGAAAGTGAACATAGAAAAGAGTAAGGTGATGAGGGTATCAAATGATTTAGATAAAGAAAAATTGGATATCAAATTGGGGAGGAGGAGTATGGAAGAAGTGAATGTTTTCAGATACAGTGGACCGGTTAACGATATTTTTTCACTCCAGAAGTATGTTCAGGTGCCAGTACTGACCGAATTTGTTCCCATAAGGAATATTGTAAGTAGATTAGTCCATTTCAGACCCCCAAACATACACGTACAAACGCACTTACATAAATACACTTACATAATTGGTCGCATTCAGAGGCGATCGTTATGCGGGGGTCCACTGTACTTGGGAGTTGACG